TTTCGTGCACGCACGTACGCACGCACGCACGCATGCACGCGATAGTGTTAGGTGGAGTGGCGCGTCATTATACCCATACTGGCGCACACCTGCGAGAGAGAATGGTCGAAGAATGCATGTGCGAGTAGGCGAGGTCGCGCTTGTGTTGCGTTGGTGGAAGCAGGAGAGACCCTGTGTTTCCCTGGGCACACGATCGTGTGTGTCGAATAAACGAGTGTAACGCAGTCGACGACGGACCTAGAGGCTAAACCTGCTGAACACCGGAGCGAGCCATTTGTACGTTCTCGAGTGCACCGATTTTGCATCGTTCTCGAGTTGACACAGTTACTTTCTTCCGCTTGTATCGAGCGGCGGAGACACGTCAAAACGCGGCGTGCGCGTTCACGTTGGAAACTGTGGCACGTGAGAGAGCACGTAACCGCGAGTGGCTACCCGTTTGACGACATTTCCAAGCGTCCAAGTATCTTTACCACCGATGGCTCGTGCCGTAGTTTCGTCTAGTCTCGATAGCGAGAAGCTTCCGGCATCCGTGCGAGTCGCGTCGAACGGAGGAGTGTGCCAGCTCGGTTATCAGCTGGACGACGATCGGTTGATGCTGCAGTTTGCCTCATCCTCACTTTTCCTTCCAGTCGATCCGTCCTATCCCGCGCCAGTCATTTGCAGCTCGTTTATAAACATTCCACGGCTACGATTATGAGCTACGTCGGTCCAAGGATACAGGAGAGGGAAATCCAGTTGATATCGTGAACATTTTTAGTCGATCTGGAATAGTACGACACGACCGAGTCAGCGACTGTCGTGTGTTCTCGCTCTCTTCCAAGGTGAAACGTGTGCTGCGCGCTCGATGCAGAGGATGCGAATACACGCTGGATAGAGTACAATGAACATACCCATCGTGTCGGGAGATATCGTCGAAGACGATGTCCACAAGCCACGTTTCGTCAGGGTGAGTAGACATCGCAAGTCAACTTCGTTAAACGTATTTTTACATTTTCCACGCTCTCTCGCACCGATTCATACACATATGTCCTCTATGTCGTATGTATATGTTTTGTGTACGTGTTACATTGTTGTTGTTACTTGCGCGAGTTTACACGATACGATATAGCGTTGTAAACGCGACTTAATCGTGACTTGATTCGACCGTTTGTCTCTTTACATTTGAGCATGATGGGGGGGGGGGGGGG